TTAGGATTTGTTTGAAATTAGCATGCGCGATAGAGATCATGTCCGGGTAGGAATTAAACCATGTGGGGTAAATATCATGTGGGGTAGGATTTTTCATTTTTATTGTTTTGATTTACCTCACTAACTCTTTTTATTTTTTATTTTTGTTCTGTTTCATTTTATTTTTATCACTTGCATCATTTAAAAGAGGTGTTGATCCACCAAAAACGTGTTTGTTAAACATGAATAATCAACATTAATGGACAAAGGGGTTGTAATACAAGAGATGAAAATGCAGAGGACAGTCTACAAGGAGACTATGCATCACATTCAATCCAGAAGACGTGGTGCCCACAATTGAAGAGTGTATCACTCCGCTGCATTAAAAAGGACTCAGAATGAACCAGGTCTACATCGAGCACAGTGAAAGTCTATTTTTGAAGAACTGACTGGCAGAGGTTATAGGGGCAAGATGAAGGTTACTGATCTTGGGAGTTCCTTCAAAGACAACAATGGAAAAACGATAGTTGAAATTGGAGACTATTGCTGATGAATTCAAGAAACAAACTAATGAACTTCACATAGTTCCTATCAATTGAGGACTCCAATGACGTATTTGTTGGGAACAGGTTCAACAAAAGATAAATGTCAGAGATGCAGTCATTCGAGACCTCTTGGGCCAGTACAAAAAGTAACTCAACATTTGCACGGTTCATCTAGAGAAGCTAGAGCGGTTCGACATGTTATTCAACCGATGACAGACAAAGGCGGAAGACTGGTCAACATGTCAGAATCTGACAGGATATTTTTGTCTCTTAAAAGATAAAACATTTTTGTCCCCAATAAGGATTATTTCTAATAACAGACACATTTTTTGGATCAATGCCTCGAACATTGCATGCATCATGCATTACTACATATTTCGCATTACTTTTTTCTTTTTATTACATTCACATTTCTCATAAAAAAAATGAGAACATTTTGATCCTATGACATATAAGGAGCTTTACCAATAGTTGTTTGACGCAAGTGTGGTGTCACCATATCTAGAGAAATCCATGAAGCCTTCATACCCCAAGTAGTATGATGAGAACGCTCATTGCGAATATCATAGCGGTGGCCCAGGGTGCACTATCGAGAACTACTCCACATTCAAGAGAATCGTACAGAAAATACATAACAAGAACTGGATCGACTTCAACAGCTTGAAGGCATCCAAGTGAGGAAGATCATTTCATCATTTGAGGCATTCTGTTTGAATTTGTTTTTTTTTTCTCAAGTTTTTTGTAAAAACATTTGAATAAATTTATGTTACTTTAATGATGACGAGCAATGAATCACATTTGCAAACTTGCAGTTCTTTGAATATCATTTGAATTAAGAAACTCTGTAAATGGTTTAAAGTTATAGATCTTTGACGGAGTAACTTGATTTAAAACAAGGACTTTTGACCTTACCCTGAATATACCCTCAAACATCGTACTCTGCTCTTGCAATCAACCAATATAACCTTTTCCTTTCATAAGGAGCGGACACCATGGGGCATCATTTTGCATATGACAATACTATGCTTTTTATTTAAGACGTTCAGTGATGATAATGATATTCACAAATGGAATAGTCGAGTAAGTGAATCTAGTTTAAGTCAGTTGTTTGGAAATTGAACTCTAAAGATAAGATTCCTGGACTTTCAAAAACACCTAGACTATAACAGGTTCTTCTTGACAATCTTAAAAAATAAAATCTGTAAAGCTGAGCTATTCCACTAAGACAATTGGTTATAGAGGAAACTTGAAAGCCCTAGCCTTATGAATAGATTACATTCAAACCATGATATTGCTCGAACACTTGGCAATTCGGTGTTTGGTCCACTGCTTTTGTCAGGCCGAAGACTTTGTGATGAGATGAACCCTTCAATTAAACCTGATAAAAGTGATTATAATATTAAGTTGTCCCTCTAAAGCAATTGGTTGAACGCCCCGACTTTATGGATTCAGCTAGCCAGATAACGACAAGTTAAATCAAATTTATCTAACTAAGAAATTTTTGGTAATGATGGACTAAGTGAGTTAAGGAACACCTGTTATAGTCAAATTCACACGAGCACTCAAGAATTTCATTTTTAGACCGATGTTTCTGCATTACCTTTGTTAGAAGAATTTACAAAACTTGAACAAATGGAAGATTTCAAAGGATCGAAATAGAAGGTCTAGTAATTGATCATGCTAGTTGCGTCATTTTGTCCGCATCCAATTAAAATGCCAAGTCAATCAATGACCGAAAAAGTGACATTTTTTAGAAGACCAACCCAAAGCCAACTCATCCATTTGAACATTTGTCAAAGAGCTGTAACTCTGAAAGCATTAAAAGAGTTATTGATTCCTTTGATATTCTTTGAACTCACATTTATAATTTGATTCAATTGCGAACAATATTTTATAGAATTTTTTCCCCTCCTAAAACAAGAAAAAGGAGAAAAACATTTTCAAACAAGACAGTCTCAAATATGAAAGGTCTATAAACCCAAAGCTCAAGAAGTAAATGGGGCACGATTGATTCCAAGGACCAGATTGGCAGACAAAACACGAGACTCCAATCCAAGAGATAAAACATAACTCATTTATGTTACATGCATCTTAGACATATTTAAGAGCACCGCATTTATCATTTTTAGCATACATAATTTTTTGCAGCCTTTTGAGTCAAGTTTCAACTTCACGATGAAAGATCCTCAATTCAAAAGCAAATTCAAAATTTGATGGTGGTTGTCCAACTTCACAGCGAAGAGGCGACTGACTGTCAACAAACAACTTTTCAGTTTCATTCAGAGTCAATTTCAACTTCACAGCGAACGATATTAGACTCACGACAGCACAAGCTCAACTTCACAGCGAAGGGGTGGTTGGCTGTCAACAAACAATTTCCCAGTTTCAGAGCCAATTTCAACTTCACGACGAAGGATATTCAAGTCAAGGTTCAACTTCACGACGAAGGGGACACTCGTAGTTTCAACTTCACGATGAAGGGAATCGTGCACACAAGCAACATTCATCTCCAGATTTAAATTTCAACTTCAAGACGAAGGATATCCAACTCAAAGAATGAGTGTCTGTCAATAAACTTTCCAGTTTCAGATCCAATTTTAACTTCACGGCGAAGGATATTGGACTCGAAACGACACAATTTGCTCGAGAGTAGATTTCAACTTCACGACGAAGGATATCTAGCTCGAAGACAAACTTCACAATAAAGGGGTCATCCATGGTTTCAATTTCACGGCGAAGGGAATCGTGTCCACACGCAACATATAATACTTGGATTTCAACTTCACGACGAAGGATATTCAAGTCAAGGCTCAACTTCACGATGAAGGGGCCATCTACGATTTTAACTCCACAACGGAGGATATCATACCCACGCATCCACGATTTCAACTCCACGACGGAGGATATCATGCCATTTGAGGCTCAACTTCACGAAGAAGGGGCTTCCCAGTTTCAGAGCCAATTTCAACTTCACGGCGGAGGATATTGGACTCGAAACAATACAACTTACTTGGATTTCAACTTCACGATGAATGATATCCAATTCAAGGCTTAACTTCACAACGAAGGGGCCATTTACAGTTTCAACTTCACGACGAAGGGAATCGTACCCACCAGCAACATTCATCTTCAAGAACAAGCAGATTATCGATTGTCTTTGAGATTGTTTCTCTCGAAACAAGGGGTCGTCTCGCTTGAGACTAATTTACTCAAAACAAAGTTTTGTCTCTCTTGAGACAGTTTCTCTTGAAATAAATTTTATCTCTATTGAGATAGTTTCCCTTGAAACAAATTTTGTCTCTCGTGAAACAGTTTCCCTTCAAACAAAACCTTTGAATATGTTTTACATTAAATAAATTTCGTCTCCCTTGAGACAGTTTCTTTTGGAACTAAGTTTTGTCTCTCTTGAGACATTTTTTCTTGAAACAATTTTTTTCTTTGTCTCTCTTGAGACAGTTTCTCTTGAAACAAATTTTGTCTCTCTTGAGACAGTTTCCCTTGAAACAAAATATTTGAATATGTTTTCCTTGAAACAAATTTCATCTCCCTTGAGACAATTTTCTTTCGGAACTAAGTTTTGTCTCCCTTGAAACACAAAAAAAAAAACCTTTGAAAATGTTTCTCTTGAAACAAAAGACCTTTGAGTTCGACTACTCTCAGCTCAAAGGCACCATCATTTGTAGCATAGCTCAAGGCAAGAAGGGCTATATGCCAAAGACCTTCGAGTTCGATTCTATTCAGCTCGAGGGCGTATCAACCGCATTGCATCAACAATGAACTACTTTTCGGTCAAATTTTCACACCCAAGTCTTTAAATCAAGAAAAAGACCAAGGTCGACCAAGAGTGGTAACAAAGATACACTTTTCGATTCACCCACGATTTTAACTTCACGAAGAGTGATATCGTGTTCAATGGATCGACATAGTGTTACAACAAACACTATCGAGTCTCAATTCACAGAGAACCAGACAAAAACTTGTTATCTTTTTAGTCTTTGTCCTATCTTTGTTAACACAAGAATGTGCAAAGAGGAGCAGCTGTAGACACCCGTTTTTATTCGGGTTTTAAAAAATATTTATTATTATTATTATTATTATTTAATTATTTAATTCTTTTTCTTTTCTTTCTTTCAGGCCCCATGTGTAACAACCCCTCTATCTCCACAATTCCACAACTACTACCACATGCGTACATCCATGAAGAAATCATGGAGCAATTTGGGGGTAGCATGGTCCACGCAGAGATCAACTCTTCTTCTCTCTTTTATAAAACCTCTGGGCTTTTAATATTGAAGTGGGGGGAGCATATTTACAAGCGAATGATCTTCTTCTTGAAACCTCTCTCAGACCAATCTTCTTCACTTCCCCAACTTTCATGGTCGCACTCTTATGCTACGCGTCACGTCTTTTCGCTACGTGGCTAACTTCATTCTTCTCTTTCGTGGGTCTTGTTTGAAAAATTATCGAAACCCGAGCATGATTCAACCGTCTCTTGGGAAAGCCATGGATCGACAGGTGGCCTTACTTTTAGTGTCGTTTTCTCTCTTGTTTCTTAATCAACCGACCATGTCTTTGCTACCAAAACAGTGCGATGACATATGCGGAAGTCCTCACATCCCATTTCCATTTCATTTAAACGCTTCTTGCCCTTCGATTTTCACAGTTATCCGTCTTTCGTGTTTGAATTCCACTACCCTTTACCTCCGTATCGGCACTGAAACCTATCGAGTTCTCGATTTTTTATCCGACGGTGTACTCGTGAACTTCCCCAGAACCACCAGTTTTCGTCAGTACAATGACTTGAACAGCTTTGGTTTTACAAAAAACGACTACTTTGGTATCTCCAACGACAACGTCATAGGTCTATATGATTTTGAGGACTCTTCTTTGTGTAAAGCGGGTTGTGAAACAAAAGACTTGCCCGGTTATGATGGAAACTACGGTGGATCTCTTACATGCTGTTATCCACTTTCCAATCACAACATTTGGCATTTCGGTGATGGGTTCTCTAGCTTTTCAAAGTTCAGGTGCCGAGGATTTTCATCATTGCTAGTTGCTCGGGGTTCAAACACCGGTAAACGTGGGGTTAAGTTGGAGTGGGTGATTCCTAGAAACTCATCCGATAGAGTTCGTGCTAATGATGCAGATATGGTGAATGTCATTGCAGTTTAAGCAGCGATCAGGTGCCTGTGTGACGCCAGACAGAATATTGATTATCCTGTAGGCTAGCTCCGACAAACGATTCACAAGAGAAAATTCGCCCAAAAACCAGAGAAAAAAAAGTCTCTAGGGTTTAATAAAATATTATAAAATCAAAAACAAAACAAAAAACAGTCCACAAGCCGGACTGTTATAGCAAAAAAATCATCTTTATTCGAATTTTGCCAAAAATAGCAAAATCCCGAAAATCACTCTAAATTGAAATTCGAAATAAAATAAGCAATCTCCCAAAAATCCGGCCTAAATCGGATTTAAATTGACTTCCTAATTAACAATCGAAATATTACCATAAATAGTAAAAAATAACTAAATCTAGTGATTCGGAGGGGAAAACGGCAGAATTTGAGGTTGAAAAAAAGGTCACATGGAGCGTAGCTCATGTAGAGAGCGTGCGCGTCGAAAAGAGCTTTCCGGATTGGGGTCTTATGCGCGATTCTGACACCTGTAGCCAAAGTTATGGCCAAAAGACTGAAACATACTCAAAACGACCCCAATGAGGAACATGTCACAATCAATTCCCGCCTTTGCGCTGATCTGCCAACTCATGGTATCTCAGCGCCATCAACGTGCAATCTGACAGCTCAGCATCATCTGTCTCGGATCCCCCTGCATCACTGTGCAAGGAGTGTTCTTAAATTCCTTCTTTGTTCTTTATTTGCTTTCTCCCAGTATCACATAGAATTGTTGGGTATCTGGAAGAGGAAGTCGTTCATTCGTATTTAGAGTATTTGAAGGACATTGAAAGTGGGGTTGTTAAGACTTTCTTGGAGCATGCGTTTATATTCCATATTTTACATTTTTTAAAACATTTTTTCTTCTCTTAATTAATTAATTTATTTTTTCATTTTCCCTTTAATTTATTTAGTATTTATTTTTTTATCTAACATTTTTTACGTTTTTTTAGGAGAATTTTGAATCAATCAAAGGTAATTATTCGAATCGATGTTTTAAATTTCAATTTAAATTTAAATTTTCGCAATAAAGACAACCGATAAATTAATTGGTACCGAAAGAGCAGTTTAAGGGTGCTAATCCTTCCTTGATCGTAATCGACTCCCGAACCCGACACATTTCTAGTAAAACGCAGATCATGTAAGATGATGTCCGATCAGCCTAAATAATTTAAAATGATCGATGGCGACTCTAACCTAATTTTCCTAAGTCGAACCCCAATTCCGGGTCCAACCGAAAGACGATTCCGACAGTTGCACAAATACACCAAACTAACATATTAAGACTAAAGTAACAATCCATAAATACATCAAACTCACATATTAAAAACATTCTTGGAAAAGAAAAGTTCAACGATTCAAAATCAATCTTAAAAATAAGAAAATCAACATCTCTGCTTAACTTCATTCATTCTTGGTTGCAATCACAAAACTACTAAAAAATATAAAAAAGAATTAACAAGTTGCTCGCGAGATTTATTGAGTCGAGTTAGACTTTATTCGACTTAACTCTTTAAGATCTTAAGTTCGAATTAAATCAATTCAAATCAAACATTAATCAAGTTTTGATCAAATCGAATTTGAACTGCTCACGAGCTGCTCAACTTATCAAGCACCCTATAAGTAAGAATTTATATATGCATTTCAAACACATTTTCATCTTTACATTACAACTATTTTTTTTACGAGTTTCTCTCATATGATTTAAAACGATAATTTTTTTTTATTAAACTAAGGTAATTATAAAGTAATATATGTTCTGAATACTCTTAACTATTTGACAACGAACGCTCAATCACCCTATTACAGCCGCTAGTGCTCGAACCCGTAACCTTTAGGTATAACAATGATTCTTTTAAAACGATAAAGTTGAATTTGTATTTAAGTGGTGTTCGTTATTCAGACTAATATTATCTTTTTTAAGATTCATGAGAATTTACTGTCGACTTTACTAAGAGGGAACCTCATAAACAATAGTTTCTCAAATGAGAGATTGATTCTATTAAAATTTAAATATTTATACGATGAATGACAATAGACATAAATAGATAAGAACAGAGACTTGTATAATCAAAATATAAATTGTAAAATTGTTATATTTTTATAATATTTTAATACTTTTTAATTATCTGTTAACTCACTAACGAAATTATAGTTTGACTAATAACTTCTAATTATCTTCTAACTCACTGACAAACTATTTAAGTTTGATCCCTAAAAAAACCTATTTAAGTTTTATTGTAAAAAGAGTTGATCTCTTCATAGAAGGATTGATCCCTTCAACTCCGGTAACGTGAAGATTTGATCCCTTTATGCGAAACAAAAGAAGGATCAATCTCTTTTAAAATGATCTATTTATTTTCTAAGAAACAATAAAATGATTGATCTGTTGATTGGTATTTTTTTAATACAAAAATATAGATTTATTGTCCTAACAATTGATATATAGATCGAGTCTCATTTGAAGGTCGAACAACCCCTAGAGAAGATCCTTGAAGAATACAATCATCAAGAACATCATATATGGTCTTTATTATAACACCCCAATTTGATCTGAAATAATCGATGGATTGAAGGTGTTAAATAACCAATAAATTTAAATCGTTTGAATTTATATCATAATGATGTGCAATGATATATTCGTCATTTGAAGGTCGAACAACCCCTAGAGAAGATCCTTGAAGAATACAATCATCAAGAACATCATATATGGTCTTTATTATAACACCCCAATTTGATCTGAAATAATCGATGGATTGAAGGTGTTAAATAACCAATAAATTTAAATCGTTTGAATTTATATCATAATGATGTGCAATGATATATTCCGATCCCGTTAGCTTTTGGGATGTCTCAAATGCGACAGCTTTAATATACGGTTAAGGAAAGATATTATTATAAATGTTATTATTTTTTTAACACTTCCGGTGAAACGCTATCTAAAATATTATTTTTATACTGAAAATGTTAATATTGAACGCTACCTAAAACATTATTTTTTTACCAAAAAATATTAATATTAGGCGCAACCTAAATTTTTTTTTACCAATTTTTAAATAACGAAATTAACATTTCCGGTAGAAAAATAATATTTTAAATAACATTTTATCAAAAATATTAAAAAATAATAATATTTTCGATAATTTTTTTAACAGTATATAAAGCTACAGTACGACAGAAATATCCGATAGCTTTTCTCACTTGAGAAGAGCTATTTGTTGGACTCATTGTCGACCACAAATACAGCATTTATTTTCCTTGTTTATTAGAATTCGTATGGATGGTTACAGCTGACATTTTTTGTTCAATGCAGCATCGGTTAATGGTTGGTTGGGTGATTAATGTGTACGTACAAAGAATTCATAATTATGTTGTAACTTTTTAGGGTAAACTACATAAATGGTCACTAATGCTTTAGTGATTTTTCAAATTTCCCACTGAAGTTTAAAAAGTAATAAATTAATCACTAATGTTATCGATTCGTAACAAAATGGTCACTTCACCGTCATCACTGTTAAATTGATGATATGACAACGTTAGAAAAAATGTTAAAATTTTATTTTACCCCTAAACTATTGCTAAAAGATTAAATAAATCCTTAAACATTAATTTTATATCTAAAATCCCCTATTCTTTAACGTTAATCTAGCTAAGGTTTTCTTATTTCCTTTTCTTCCTTTATCATTTCTGGGTTTTTCCTCAAATCTCTCTCGTCCTCATCTACTTTCTTAGTTATTTTAGTTTTTCCTTTCTCTTTGCTCACTTTTGACAGAGGTACATGCAATAATACAATGAGATGAAACTCTCTACTCTTGGAATGGGTATTCTCTCTTAGCTCTTTCATTCCAATTCACCATCTACAGATTTGCAAATAGACAAGCTTTACAATGATTAAACAGAGAGGGAGAAAGCTTGTCATTAAATGTTGTTCATCATCTAAAACATTGTAAACCTTGACAATGGCAACCCATTGATGTTGCTCTTAGCTTTATCCCTCTCTGTTTGATCACTGTAAAGCTTGTCGATTTGTAAATCAGGAGATGATGAATTGGAACGAAAGAGCTAAGAGAGAATACTCATTCCAAGAGTAGAGTGTTCCACCTCATTGTATTGATGAATGTACCTCTGCCAAAAGTGAGCAAAGAGAAAGAAAAAACTTAAATAACTAAGAAAGTGGATGAGGACGAGGAAGATTCGAGGAAAAACCCAGAAATGATAAAGGAATGAACGAAATGAGAAAACCTTGGCTAGGTTAACGTAGAAAAAATATAAAATTTATTATCTAATGATTTATTTAATGTTTTAGTAATAATTTAGGGGTAAAAAATAAAACTTAACATTTCTGTTAATATTGTCTCATCATCAATTTAACGGTTATGACAATATAGTGATTATTTTGTTACAAATTGATAATATTAATGACCAATTTATTACTTTTGAAATTTTAATAGAAAAAGTAAAAATTTACTTAAACATTAATGACTATTTATATAGTTTACCTGTCATTTTATTGTATAAATAACTTTAAAATTGGAAGTTGTTATAGTTTTAGAGATGATTTCTAGAAACTGACATCTTTTTATCAATCAAAAGTTTTTGAGAGATTTTTTTTTATATGAGTTATTAAAATATCTTTGAACTCTAAAAACAATAACATTATTAATTTTAGGATATTTTACGGTGCAAGGGCGGATAAACTAAGCTCTAATAGTAGCCAAATGTATCCTTATTATTTTGAGAAAATGATTAAATTTAACTTAATGTGATAAGGGAAAAAAGAAAATAAATAAAAATTTTGCACACTCATTATTTTTAAAAAAAAGAAAATTAAAATTTTGGACACATTCTTAAATTTCTGGATCTGCCACTATTACGATGTATAAACAAGATCTCTTATAGGCTAACGTAATCTACTAGAGTAAAATTCAAAGTTAGACTATCAAATCTATCCAACGTTACAACATACAAATAGTCATAATAATTCTGTGTCTGGCATTGTCA